CATCTGCTCCGATGAGACTCTCCCAGAGCCTGGACTCCCATTGGGTTCCATCCAAAGACTCTCTCGGAAGCTAAGCTCTTGAGTCGCAGCTGTGGAAAAACACAGACCTAGAGGAGCATGCGCATCTGCCGGCCTGGGCGAGACTCTCGAGCTCAGCGAGGGTGTGGTGGACGCTGCCCCTCAACTCTCCGTTGTCCTTGTCTCACCCGGTGGCATCTCCTCTGCTGTCCACAGTGAGATCCCTCCCTCTTCTCTCTTCTTCTGCTCCCCAGAGCCCTGTCCTTGTAGGGCTCTAACCCTCCTTCAGTAAGAGACCCCTTCCTTCTACTATTTGTGCTTAACTCCGATATTTTTATTACCAGGAAGTGGGAAATAAAAAGAGAAATATCTTTGCCCTGAGTTAACATTATGTAATACATTTGTGCACCAGAATATTACCTGCTGCCCCATATATATGTGCTATTTTGGTGTGTCAATTACACACACACACACATATATATATATATATATATATATATATATATGAAAATTGTGTTTGTGTATGTATGTATAAAGAAAAATGGGTGAGTTATAATAGCGTCTAATTTAAGAAAAAAAAGGTAATTCAAAATATTTTTATTGGGATTTTTTTTTTTTTTTTTGGAGACAGGGTCTTACTAGCTCTATAGACCAGACCATCCTTGAACTCACAGAGATGCTCCTGCCTCTGCCTTCCAAGTGCTGGAATTAAAGCCCTCCCCCTCATGCCCAGCAGGTGGTTCAAATTGAAGAACTTGGCCTCAGAAGAAGAAAAGATGTTAGGGCTATGTGAATACGTGTATATTTCCTGTTCCCATTTCAACTGTGGGCAGCTACATTAACAGATGAGTGTTTTACTGATTTCAGCCCCCACCATAAACTTTAAAATCCAAGTTATTTGTATCTTTTGCAGAGGCACCCACACCCTTTACTGGTTTTATCTGAGACGGGATCTCTTGTTACTTAGCCCAGGCTATCCTGGAATCTGACTCCTCCTGTTGTTATTTAGCCCAGGCTATCCTGGAATCTGACTCCTCCTGATTCAGTCAACTAAAACTTGTGACCGCAACCCCTCTAGAATTCATGTTCATAACCTTCCCCCTACTGAGTAGAGCCTCGGGCACCCACACATGAAATGGGGGCTTGGGAATAGTCTGTGACATTTACTAACTGCATCATTGTCCCTGTTGGACAAACAGTATGAGGTCTAGATTTTTTCTTCTTTGATTGTTAGGCTGACAACAGACTCCAGTCTTGGTGCATCATTGGCACAGCAACATAAATAAGTAAACAGGTAGACGAGTAAATAGAGCGAGCAAGCAAGCGGTTTGAGTTGCTCAGCATTTCAGTTAGGGGGCAGGGAATTAATCTACCAAACCAGTTTAGATTCCAGTCCCCAACAGAGCACCTTTGTGCTGGACCTCTGGAGTCAGCGCTGTGTTTTAATTAACTCTGGAGAAAAGCCGCTGTTTTGATGGAGGTCAGCGACTTTCCACTGAGCTATGGGAAAATTTGACTGCTGACTCAGGCTGAATCATAGCCCCGAGGTCCTGAATACACAACTCTTTCTGAAGAGTCTTTTTCCAAAGTACAAACCCAGCAAACTCCAATTGGTATAGTTTTTGTTCTGTTTTGTTTTGGGGGGTTTTGGGGTTTTTTTTGTTTTGTTTTAAATGTATCTAGTATTGATTTTTGTAGATTCTTGTGCTGACTAGTATCATGTCAAAATGATACACGTGAAAGTCATCTGAGAGGAGAGAACCTCAATTAAGAAAATGCCCCCATAAGATCTATCTTAAAATTGTCTGTAGGACATTTTCTTAATTAGTAATTAATGGGGGAGGGCCCAGTCCATGGTGGGTGGTGCCATCCCTGGGCTAGTGGTCCTAGGTTCTTTAAGAACACAGGTGGAGAGGCTGGAGGTTGGCTCGGTGGTTAAGAGCACTGCCAGCTCTTCCAGAGGACCCAGGTTCAATTCTCAACACCCACATGGTATCTCACAACTGTCTCTGCTCCTGTTCCATGGTATCAGATGCCCTCATACAGACAGATCTGCAGGCAAAACACCAATGTACACAAAATATAAACATAGATAAATAATTTTTAAAAGTATTTATATATAATATATATTATTTATATAATGTATTATTTATATGTAATATATATGACTTACCAAAGATAAATCAAGACCAAATAAGCAATTTAAACAGACCCATAACACTTAGTGAAATATAAGCAGTAATTAAACGTCTCGCCTCCAAGAAAGGCCTAAGATCAGATCGATTCAACCTAGAATTCTGCTAGACCTACACAGAAGAATTAATGCTCATACTAGTCAAATTATCCTGCAAAAGAGAAAGTGAAGGAACATTCCTTAATTCTTCTTATAAAGAAGAATTAAGTACCCCGTACCAAAACCACAAAAAGACCTAGCAAAAAAGAATATTACAGGCCAACATTATAAAAAAATTTAAAAGAATCGTAACATATTTGCAAACAATATTTAAGTGCTCTAAACAAGACTATCCACCATGAGCAAGTTGGCTTCATCCCAGAGCTTTAGAGATGATTCACTGTATTAAATCAATACATGTGATGCAGCACATAAACAGACTAAAACCACAAGGTCATCTCATGAGATGCAGAAAAGGTCTTTGACATAATCCAGGGGCCCGCCCTCCATGATAGAAGTCTTGGTGAGACAAGGGATGCAAGGAACATACCTCAACATCATAAAGACAATCTACAGTAAACCCACAGCAAAAGTCAACCTAAATGGAAGGAAACTCCAAGTATTTCTACTACAATTGAGAACAAGATAAGGTTGCCCACTACTCCATATCTATTCAATAAAGTACTTGAAGTCTTAGCTAGAGCAATCAGACAACTGAAGGAGATCAAAAGATATAAATAAAGGAATAAGTCAAAGTATCTTTATTTGTAGATAATATGGTTTTAAACCAAAAGACCCTAAAAAAAAAAAGTCAACCAAGAATCTCCTACACTTCAGCAAAGTAACAGGATACAAAATTAACAGACAAAAATCAGGAACCTTCCTATAAACAAGTGACAAATATACTGAGGAAAACATTAGGGAAACAATACCTTTCATAGGAGCCTCAAAAACAAAACAAAATTAAAAAAAAACTTTGTACGAGTCTAACCAAGCAAGTGAAAAACTTGCATAATAAAAACTTTAAGTCAATTAAGAAAGAAACTAAAGATGGAAGGGTCTCCCATGCTCAGGGATTAGTAGGATTAAGTTTGTAGGATGGCCATCCTACAAAAAGCAGTCTGCAGACTGGATGCCGTCCTCACCAAAATTCCAATATAATTTCTCACAAAAATTGCAAGCAAAGCATTAAACTTCCTATCGAAACACACAGCCAGCACGGCTAAAGCAATGCAGAAGAAGAAGAATCCCTTGGAGGTATCCCTAACCCAGACTGCAAGCTATGCTAGCAAGAGCAACATGCGGTTGTCATAAAAACAAGTAGATTAATCAATGGAATATAGTTGAAGACTCTCATTAGTTCACACGCCAATGGACACCCGATTTTGACAAAGCAGCCAAAATTCACATTGTCACTTAATTTAATTTTGACCATCCTGACTGGGGTAGGATGAAATCTCAAAGCAGCTGTCGTTTGTGTTTCCCTAAGGGCTAAAGATGTGGGCTTCGTCCTTTGAGAACTCTCTGCTTACTTCTCTACCCCATTTTTCAATTGGCTTCTTTGTTTCCTTACTGTTCCGGATTTCTGTTTGGTTTTTTTTTTTTAGTTCCTTATGTATCTCAGATACTAATCCTTTCTCAGATTGTATAATTGGTAAAGATTTTTTCCCACTGCATTACAGAAGCTTTTCGGTTTTATGAGGTCCCATTTATTAATTGTTGGTTTTAGCGCCCGTACTATCAATGATCTGTCAGAAAGTCGTTTCCTTTGCTAGTGAGGGAGTATTGGCCAATAAAAAATGAACTCAGTAGTATTTTTGTGGACTTAGTTTTAGCTTTTTTTTCTTTTTTTTGGTTTTGTCTTTTGCTTGGTTACTTAGTTTTTTTAATTTTTTGTGTTTTTGTTGTGTTTCTTGTTTTTTGGTTGTTGTTTTGGTTTTTTTTTTAGAAAGAGAGAAAGAACATAAAATTGAGCAGGTAGGGAAGTGGAGAGCATCTAGACAAATTTGGGGAAGGGAAAATCATGATTGACTATGTCATATTAATTTTTTCAATAATAAAAGAAGTTGCATGGGTAGGGGTTGTGGGCCTGAGAGGAATTAGGGAGGGTGTGAATATCATCAAAATACATTATGTAAAATTCTCAATGAATTAGCCTTTAATCCCAGCACTCGGGGTCAGAGGCAGACGGATTTCTGAGTTCAAGGCCTGCCTAGTCTACAGATCGAGTTCCAGGACAAACAGGAGTACACAGAGAAAACCCTTTCTCAAAAAAAAAATTTCCTCAATGAATTAAAAAAGTACATTTAAAACCAAACATGCTAAGCAGTGGTGTCACGCACCTTTAATCCCAGCACTTGGGAGGCAGTGGCAGGTGGATCTCTGAGTTCAAGGCCAGCCTGGTCTACAAGAGCTAGTTGGGACAGCTAGGGGTGTTACACAGAGAAACCCTGTCTTGAAACAAACAAATAACAACAACAACAACAAAAAAAAAAAACAAGAAAAATGGTATCTGAAGAATGCTTGTTTTATTCTAAACTTGAACGTAACAAAATTGCCCAAGATATTCGCCCTGCAGTGCCTAACTTTTACATTTAGTAAATGCCTTGTCTGGGGCTGCTGAGAGTTGGCTCAGTGGGGAAGGGTGCCTGCCGCCAAACCAAATGACCTGTGCTTGATCCCCAGAACCTACATAAAGTGGGGAGGAGAGAACTCACTCAGGGCAAAGTTGTGCTCTGACCCCGCCCCCGACACAGGCAGTGGTATAGGTGCCCCCTGATCCCACAAAAAAAAAAAAAAAAAAGAAAAAAGAAAAAGGTTTTAAATAGGCTTGCTTCCAAAATTCAAATAGTTTACTGTGTTTGGTGGCAAAGACGTCTTCTTTTGCACTCCACTTAAAAGTGAGCCCAAATTACCTAAACATCTTTTCCTTCATTTTTTATACGTGTATAGGTGTTTTGCCTGCATGTGTGTCTCTGTGCACCACTTGTGTACAGTTGTCTGCTGAGACCAGGGAGGACATTAGATCCCCTGGGACTGGTGTTAGAGCTAATTGTGAGCCCCCATGTGGTTGCTGGGGAAGTAGAAGTCCGGTCTTCTGGAAGAGCAGTCAGTGCTCTTGACACTGAGCTGGCCCCCACCCCAAACTATTATTCCAAACGAGCAGACCCTTCACCCTTCAAAGTCAAGTTTTAAAAACTCATCTTCCAATACCTCTGGGCAATCCTTCCTTAGGTATTTAAAGACTTGCCCACCATTTATTGAGAAGTACTGGCTGATGGGTTTTTAAATGTTACAGTTTAAACAGGAAACTCTCCTAGAACATGCAGATCACTGGTGTGAAAAGGAAACCACGATGGGGAAACCCAAGAAGAAACGGGTGTCTATTAAGGACTTTCCACAGTGCACCCTGGTCCGGAGGCGCGCCCAATGATACCATAAAAGAAAATACTGGTTCCTCCCTGTCCAAAGGATGAATAGAGGATCACGGGACTGGTCGCGGACAATCAAATAAACTATAACCTAACACCACAGCGCTATAGCCCTGGAAATGCATGCCTCCACCCAGAGTCAAACAATGGCCAATCAGGACTGCCTTCATTTGCATGATGGGAATCACGTGGGAGCGAACTCGCACTGAGAAGAGGTTAGCTCTTAA